GAAGATTCTAACCAGTTCAGTCTCAATCATTTCTTTGCGGCGTTCCATGGTTCTATAGGGCAAGAACATTTGGCTTGTTGTATTATCTTATGTTTCCGAGGACGTTATTTGCCACAGAACAGTCGAAAATTTTCAAAACAACCATTGTTCGCCAGCAGATAATCCGAAACGAGTTCCTCTAAGTCTTTTTGAAGTACTGTGAGTAGTATATCCAAGATTGTTGGCAAATTCCTCGTTAATTCCCCGATGCTAAAAGGTCTAGCGTTCGATTCCACTTTGAAGCCTACGGGCAAATGAATCTGAAACAGCGTCACCCCCTGTTACCTATATGCGGTAACAGCAGATTGCGTAGCCAGATGATCCAGCGCCGCTTCAGAGGTCTTGTACTGTCGAGCTTATGTGGGGCGTGTGCTGTTATGTCGCACTTCCCTGTCTGGCATGGTGTTCCTGTCAAGTCACAGATGGTTGTTATGCCTCTATATTTAAACAGACCCTGCGAATTTGAGTCAACCCAGTCAATTAGCGTTCAATTCTAAGCCAGCTGACTTGATTGATAGTGTCGAAAGAAGGCAGGCCACTGCGTTTTGAGAACAATCTGGAGCAACCCGCCTATTCTCTCATGAGGGCATACAATCTCCCGCAGTAGAGAGGGGTAGAATGGGCCGGTGATCAGGTGACAGTTCAGCTCGGCAATTGGATTGCAAACGTTTTGTTGTCACACGTGGGTGCGCCTTCAGTACACTAAAACAGCGGGCGATCATACACTGAGGAATCAGTCAGTTTTTTTCTGCAGAGTGCTTTGCCGACCAGCCCAAATCAATATTAAGTAGCTGAGCCGTTGGAAATTTCTAGTGTCGTAGCCACGCGGCTACCCACATACTTGACTTTTCAGCTCACAGTCGCTCACTGGATCACGAGACGTCTTTTTTTTCATACTCACAAACCACGTCACACTAAGGTGACTCACCGGACATCGATTGTCTGTACCGTCTAGTGAGCGTAGCAACCACTCATGTGCTGACGCGGTCACGTACGCACAAACGGATCTACATATAGGGAAATCGAACACAGTCAGCGCACACAGTCTCGCGCGCGCGCAGGCAGCAAGGAGTCAGCCAAACACTCCAAGTCCATGGACAATTATGGAACCACCGACTCATGAGCCGCCTCCCACATACACGCACTGGGACCTACATAAGGGGAAACCGAACCCAGTCAGCGCACACAGTCTCGCGCGCGCGCAGGCAGCAAGGAGTCAGCCAAACACTCCAAGTCCATGGACAATTATGGAACACGTGTAGCAGCCGCACTGCGGAGAAAAACACGTTCCCGCCGTCCGGACTTTCACCAAGGGACTCTCGCATACGATAAGTTCCCTTTCTGACTTGCTCCCATTTCGCACTGTATTTATTTTTATACGTGTTGCAACCCACTACTGACAACCATACTAAAAACCTTTATTAGTGCTTACACCTGATTTGTATTATGGTCACCATCGAAAGTGCACTAATATCGTGCAGATGCTTCTGCTGGGATAGAAAACACAACACTTGAAAAGTGAGCGAGTTCACAACGAACGAGTAAATGTATTATGTCATTGAGCAAAACCGTGTGCGACCGATTTCCCCGCAGTTCAGTTGTTGCTGCGCGCCGCTGGCTTGCCATCTCAGGGCTGATTTCTGTGGAGGAAAGAGGATTCGGTGATCGCCCACGATCTTCATCCTTGGTGTCACTGGCCGAGCGTGTCAAGTTTTGATATCAGAGTCCCCCGGATGTTCGGACAAACGACCGTTAGACCTACTTCAGACTTGAAAAGTGCGCACAAGGAGCTTGTGTGCTTGCGCGTATTGCTGGCGTAAGCCCCTTGGAACACCTTTGGTTGGAATAGACAATCTTTCATTTTGATCCCGAGGCATTTTAAAGATGGCAACGAGACATATTTCGTTTTATATCGAAGCATCTTTTTAAGCGGTTTCGAGACGTTTTACAAAAAGAAGGCACCTCATGCTCGAAAGTTCCAGAAATGTCTAGTCCAGGTTGTCCCAAAAAGTATTTTCTGAAGCCAATTTATGGATTAAATGAAATTCCCTTTCATCAGCATCAAACAGTTTCAAATGGATACCTTATTTTCAACTGAATACCAGTGTTATATTCTGAAGTACATACCTAATATTTCGGTTGTTTCCCGGTAACGAGGCAAGAGCACAAAAACCCTTTCTACATACACATCTACATATGAAATCTTCAGCAAAAAGTACAGGAAAGACGTTTACGTCACGACCATTTTTCCTAACTGTCGAGCCACACTCAGGGTATGCACCAGACCCCCTTTTGCTGGATGTTCCAATTCCACGCAACTGCTTCAAGAAGATTCAGACAAGATGAAAATTCTGTGATACATTTTTATACCTCCGTTTCTGCTTGATCTTGGTAAGCCGCATAAGAAGCAACAAACTTAAATCCAGTGGCTGTCTACTTTGGGCCCAAGTGACTTTTGAGCGCCCATCGTTCCAGGGTTTGCCTATGCGCTGCGGGAATTGCTTAAATGAAGGATAACCGTTAAGAAACCTCGATTGGGATCACGCTGCTTATGCATCACATGCTGTGAGTTCCGTCCGATGAAATTCCGTAAGGATGACCATGAAAATCGACAGAGTCTGTGTGTCTAGTCGTCGTCGGTGCCTAGCTGCCATGCCACCCGAAGGAAGTATGAGGGCTGGGATACCGCCAGGTTTGCGAAGCCTAGAAGCAGAAGCCGGGTTCGAACCACGGACCTTCTGGTCAGTAAATCCGCGCTCTAACCATGCATCCACCTCGCCCCCGTACATCCGCCTGAGGATAAATTTCGGATACGATACTCCTGATAGTTAAAAGTAGTTCGACGAGAAAAGCAATATTCTGGGCTCAGAGACGGGCTCTCCAGCGGTATTTTCCCTTTCTCTCTCACACATAGAAACGACCGATTCCGTTAAGCATGAATGTATCCACATAGTTCGTAGGGTGACGGATTATCGGTTGTAAGTTGTGTGAGGTGAAGTTGGGACTTTTTCCCGTAAGAAAAACTGTGACAGAAGTTACATAAGCCAAACTCGCCCATCTTTAAATAATGATGTAGCACAAGTTTATAGTCATGGCCTATTGGAATACTCATGAAAAACCATACTTAGAGAGCATGACGTATCAGCCCAGAAGCCAACAATGTTTCGAAATTAGGGAGTCCCGTCACATGGTCTAAAGCTATAAAACACGACTAGAAAACGGGGTGTGCACTTGAATTATTAACCCATATGTAATAAGAGCCTAAAAAGCCCCTAAAACACCTCTGCAAATAAGGCTAACAGAAACTGGTCGTGACCAGTTATCCAATATCACCGGTGTTTGCAATAGGTGAAATAGAGATCACTTGATTAATTCGTTAATTTATTCTTCAGCTGTTGACATTCATCACTGTGTTGATTACGGCATCGTCGAAAATTAGTGGAGCCATGGAGAGTTTCATTTGCTGTTTTCTGAAGGCAGACCATGCACGTCTTATTCCATGCGGACTTGGATCGTACTCGTTGGTTATTTCACTCCCGAATGCAAAGCAAGGTCAGCTTTCCGCGAGTCTATGATGGGTAAATCTTAGTTCAGCGTTCTCCATTGTGAACTGATAAACTACTTTGAGATCGATTACTGGGATAGATACACATAGATTAGTCTGACTGTGCAAGCGCAGAACAAATTTTGGTAGCTTCCTCTAAGATCATGAAGATCCAAACTCCTAGAAACGCCATAGAATTGAGTTTCCGGTAGCAGAGATATCAGCATAGGACATACAAGCCCTACTGGTATTCATATTCGGAGATAAAAGTTCAAGGATCCCAGAATGTCGGATGTCAACTATCCGTTGTCCTGAAGAAACCAGCACTTTTTGGCTTTCCTGTTCAACAGATCAATCGTCTCCGAATGTGAACAACATAGGTTTGAATGAAGCGTTACGAAAAATATCCCCAATAATCGCCTCCACCTGAACAGGATGAAGCTAGTAATTGAGGAGACTGATACGTATTCTGTCGCCGGACCATGAGTGCTCTCACCGGAATACCTCTATTTTAAAATGGTGTGGCTGTTCTAACCACAGGGTTATGAGCCTCACGACTGTTGGTTTCCGCAGTCCTGAGACGTCTAACTCCGGCACTCCGAGAGTATTAAACAAGATTTCGACCAAATAGGTTAAGTTTTGGGCTGTGCCAAGTATACAGCTCATTAACATAACTACTGGGGTTCATGCAGGGCCAACTTTTGCCTTATTTGTCATCGATACGATCGCGATATGACCGCATATCCATACCGACCGTATTTCCGAGAATAAAGGTTAACTCGAGCAGACTATATAGCATGTGCTCCACACCTCCAAAATGGGTAGTCTTACTTCACAGGTTTGAAACGGTAAGGCGAAGAGCTTCACAAAGCTGGACGGTCTGAGCATGAGCAGTGGCTATGATGAAAAAGAGGAAGCCAACGTACGGAGTTCGAAAGCACGGAAAATACTTGCCAGCCTGCGTCATCCGTGCTGTCAATAGTGTTTTGTATTTGGTTGATTATACATTATACATAGAAAAGCCCCATTTCACGATTGCGAAATTTAGTCGCTCAGATCTGACCCGAATGTATTTTTTGACCCATGTATTTGGCAAAATAGCACTGTAAGCAACGGCTCGCTTATCTCTAAAAAAGAAGAACGCCTGAATCTTTGGGCTGGAAACTGCCAACAACAATTCAACTGGCCACCAGCAGGCCGATCCGCATCGCAGCCCTGGATGGTGAACTTGCGAGCCCTGAGATATAGGAAACAAGTGAATGTCTTTTCTCCCTCAAGCGTTACCGACCTGCTAGTCGTGATAGACCCCCGTTCCATCTGTCCCTCGATAGAGGTGAGACGCTTATCCAATGCCTTTCTTAATTATTTGCCTCTACTTAGGCGAAAAGACCCTCCCAGCTAACTTAAGTAAGTCAAGATGCTGCCAATTTTGCGTGCGATTAGTTAGGGGTGAGATGGGCCAAGTGGTTAGAGCGCGAATTTACTGACCGGAAGGTCCGTGGTTCCAATCCGACCTCCGCCACTCGACTTCCCCTGTCTAAGCTTGGGCAACTTGGCAGTATCACAGCCCTCGTGCTTCCTTCGGGTGGCATGGCAGCTAGGCACCGGAAGGGTGCTACAGCTGAACGCTATTAGTTAGGGATCCTGGCGCTTGGTTTTCTGTTCACCCTCGAACCTTGTAACCTAGAACTTCGGTTGAAAACGACTATTGCTCAATCGTTTCCAGGCCCCGTACAAGTCATTCGTCCCGTTACTCTAATTCCTGGAAAACGAGTTCTGTATTGCTTTCCCACCGGCCGGGAGAAGTACCCCTATGATTCTGATAGGTGTTGCAGATCTCGCAATCTCCCACTGAAGCTTTCTAAAATACAAAATGTCTTCACATTTCCGGTGACTCACATGCTCTTTTTATGAAATGTTTTCTGCTCTCTTGATACCGTTCCCCAGGATGAAAAAAGAAAGGAATTATAAGGTATGCAAATTGGTTGAGGACTACCGTGAAACAATACTTTCATGCGAATATGAGAAAGTCACGATGAGGAAGGCAAACCGATGGAACCAGAAACAGATCGACAAAGGGAACGCAACCAGAGAAAGAGCAAACGAATCGATTCAGGCGACAAAGATTATGGAATTCGGCCGAATTCCATGGGAATATCAGTTACACCAGTACTATCGTTTGGAATGAAAGACATTGAGGCGATCAGCCAGTCTCAATTACATGGGAACGATGAATAAGCTGCAGATTAAAACATGTAAGAGATGAGTAGTAGTCAGCTAAATGACCAGTTTTTCGTACACAAAAAAAAACATTCAGAGGACCCGCAGTCATATATAACGTGAATACTCACCTAAAATCGCAGTGTTAAACATTGATACCATGCTGTCAATGATGATGATGATTATGCAACTGGAATTGGGTACAAAATGTGGAAAATAGTGTTACAAATGCGATGGACTATGTAGCGAGATCAGAAAGCTCCAGATGTTTAGGAACACAGTCGATGTATATGTTTAACCACTGCTCTCGAAAACAGTCCATCCTTGGTCATATGGTACGAGATGGCTCAAAATTTGTCGAGCGACCTCGCCTTGAGGGCCCGATAGGTAGTTTCCCGATTCAAACCATGTTTCCTTTTTATGTGTGTGCTGAGTTGACGGCGGCGACTCAGAACAATCTCATCTGTTTCGTATTTTCCAGCCTATCATGAAGCACAATGCATGGCTTGTAGTCCATATTCAAGAGATCTCACTAAGCGAGCACTTGGTGAGATTCATCGACGGCCAATAATCAGGTATGCCTGGTCTCCGCATTTTAACCAACCTTTCTTAATTCGAATGTACGCTTCATGGGTTACTTATCTGAGCAATGAACTGGTGTTTACTTAAACTCGGTTGTATAAGGCAGACTAGGAGTTCACTTAGATCAGTCTTCAGGATTTAAACGATTTCGTCCACTTGTGAACTTGTCCCTTGTCCCAGTCAATCGAAACCAATAGGGCCCAGCTTCGTTCCTATTACAACTCATCAGTACTACACATGTTCGCTCGTATTGGTTCATGAAACCTGTCGATCTGATGTGTTTTATTAGTGAAAGGAATCAACGTCAGCTATGACTCTTTGTCAGGGTTCGGTGAAGGTAAAGCCCACAGCAACATTCGGTCTTTGATAGAGTTGAACACTAGTTATTGGCTGAAAAAGGCGGCTTGAGAGGGTGCAGAAATATGTAGCATGCAGTCCCTTGAAAGCTTGCTCGTCTAGCACATTTACAATATGGACGGGACGCGACCGGAATACTCAGAATAGCTTTCGTCTGTATATCCGTCGATGATCCACAAGTGACTACGCAGTTACTGCAACCAAATGCTCGGGATGCAAGGTACACGTGAAAGTGGTATGAGAGAAAAGAAAAGCTCACAAATGAATTCGAACCATCAACCTGATGGACAAACTATCTAGGTTTCCGAGCTCTCCACCCTTGTCCTAGTTTTTGCATTCAAAACTTCACACCCTAGGCAACGCTGTGGCGAGCTAACAAAGTGGGAAAGGGTCTTCGATCGTCCAGCTGACAGTGCCCGTTCGCTTATCAAGAGATCGGTGATCGAATCCAGGGACACCTTTGCGTTTCAGCTGTGCTAGAAGCTGGCAAGTTCAAATTAGACCCCACGTGTATTGATAGTGATAAACGCCTTGTACAGTTCTGTGCCAACTATCAGTTGTTCCTCAGCAGTTGTCCATTGATTGTACAGAACACAAACGTACACAGTGATAAGATACAACGTCAGAGGCAGTGAAAAATCGATCCCATCCCGTTATCTTCAGTAGCAGCTAAGGCTATATCAATTTCACACAAATGCATAGTGTTAAAAAAACTTTCACGTGAACCACAATAAACCATAACTGATGAAAGAAATCCACATACCTAATGTTGTAGAAAAGTTTCACCGCTTAGGCATACGGTTCTCGAGTTTGGACCAGATGGAATGGTGGAACCTCCTGATAGGTCATTAATGAGTTTTCGGGACCGCTGAGACTCTGGGGATACGTTTCCATAGCCCATTGTTCCACATAATTTGCAGCGGACCACCTATTGGAGGTGAGTAAAGCAGAAAATGGGACAGATGTAATCGGGTGTAAAAGTAAAAAACGAAGAGAAATCCGTTCTAAGTCGGGCGAGACATTATCCAGTCGTAATTGTATATATCTAGTGCAAGTAATTACGCTATCGGAACGAACACAATGCCTCACATTGAAGACGAGAAACGTCCTCGTGAGGCTTTCTGAAGACTATGTGCAGCAATCAAAGTGAACAACAGGAGGATTTTTCGTATGTGACGCTGTCTTACTTCACAGGTTTGAAACGGTGGGGGGAAGAACTTCACACAGCTGGACGGTATGAGCATGAGCAATGACTATGGTGAAGAAGAGGAAATCAACTTACGGAGTTCCACAGCACGGAAAATACTTGTCATCTGCGCTGCCTACAGTGATTTATATTGGGTTGATTATGCATAGCGAAGCCTCCTTTCATGATTGCGAAATCTAGTCGCTCTGATTTGACCCCAATGCTAACTAGATATTGCAATAGTCACCTGGAACGCAAAACCTCTAGGTCAACAGACGAAGACGTCAGTCCAAGTGGAGAACATATTCCACTGTTAAGGTATCCAACAAAACTTCACCAGTATTGCAAAAACGTTTTTATCCCCAGTCTCTCGCTCTCTCGAAGAAACCTTTGCATTTATACTTACAAACGGACACCGATGAGCATAGCTAATGTGTAACAAGTTGTTTAAAACTTACATCGTCAAAAAATTTGTCCAATAACAGAGCATTCCATGAATTTGGAGCTAGGTGCGCCGCTGATTTACAGCTCTGCAAAATAAGATTAAATAGAAACTAATATTGCTGCAAACTAATGACAAACAACGTAGGATCTGCTTGCGAGCATATACCGTGTATCAGAAGATATACTTAATCGGAAATATTACATATCGAGTTAGATGCAGACCGTTGACTCATTTCATTAGACACAGCAACCAGCACAAGTTTTAGCAAACTAGTCTCATTGAAAATCCGACTGGAGGTGGATTAATTTGAATATGCGCGTGAACACAGCTCCTTTAATACACACTTCATAAGATACGGGGTTGCGCCGACTGAATCGCACTAGAGTCGCCAGTGACAGAAAAAGTGGTCTTTGGGGTGAGTTCACGGAAAACAGTGTGCCAATTGTTTTTGACAGGAAAATTGAAACGGGTAACACACATGAATTTTGTTTAATTGAAACAAAAATTGAATCCTATCCGCTACTTGACAAAAGACTTTCAGTGTTTGACCATCGATGTCTTCGGAGCATTGTCCGAATCTGGTGGGAACACTGGATCAGCAATTCTGAAGTACGTCGAGCGGTGTTCGGGAGAAATAACTCACCCTCCATAGATGAACTGATCACACTGCATCGGTTGCGCTGGATTGGCCACATACTGTGTATGCCAGTCGAACGACTTCCTCGAAGGGCTCTTTTCGCACAACCATGTGAAGGGTGGAAGAGAACCAGAGGCGGTCAAACAATAACTTGGCAGTGAAGTATGAAAGCCATTGCCAGCAAACTCAGCTGCGCTGGTCATTGCCGCCTTCCTGGATGAGGATCCCGAGACGGTCCACATCAATGGCTAGAGACATCGTCAGACGGCTCAGTCGCGCCCTCAATGGCGCTTGTGCATCCAATCTACTGTTTTCAATGCACAGCTCCCTTCCCAACCTCCCCCCAATTGACAGCCCACTGCCAGTGCTGAATTTATGCACCAATGTATCAGCTCCCGCCTGCAATGCGCGGCTACCTACCCTCCCCCTCACCCCAAATCATCGGTGAACGAAATTGCGGTAGCTACAACCACTGTACGACTATTACGCGGTTCTTACAGCTGACAATGATGATGATGATGACTTGGCAAAAGAGCTCTTCAGAATAAGTGGTAAAGATAAGATTACCGAGGAAATTTTGTATCTCAGAAACGGAGCCACCAAGAAAAGCTTATCGCAACAGGCGCATAAGGGAACAAGTAACTCTAAAGGCATAATGAACGCCATTCACTTCCTTTAATTAAGATGTTTATGCGACGCGTCACGAATACGCTCCACACCCACGCAAGCAGTTAGCCTACACTACGACGAAGCGCTGACTGATCCTACAGTCATGGGACGTGTGACGGGGTACATATATCCAACATTGAATGTGGTACGGCATCATCATACCGCTCCTGTTCCCTCTATTCTCCTTCAAACTGTAAGACCTTTCCAAGTGAGGTTTGTGGTCATACGACAAGATCAAAACCGATGCTAATGAGTCTGCAGATGATAATAACGATGAACCGTCAAAATAAGAGGAATCATCTCAGTAAACCAACTGACCAGGGGGACGATCGGTTCAGTTATTCAGCAATAAACCGTTTGTCAGGATAGTCATTTCACTTGCTCCCGCTTCGTTAACCTGGGATAACTAGAATAGGGTAATGACAGTCACATGCTGGAGGCAGTGGTTCAATTAGCCCACGGACGTTGGACTGCTGTCTGTAAAACAAAGCAGTAATTGAGAGATTTGAAAGTAATTGGTCTGATGAATGACCCCCATCGGTTGTGACAGGGTCATACCTGTTGAATTGTTAACCACTGGTGTGTCCCACCTCAGGTTCCCCACAGGGAAGGACGGCATTTATCGATGCGACTAAGTTGACTGCTCCGCTGCAAACTTATAGATTAACTGCCCCTGGTTATCCTCCGCCGATATACGACAGGGTGAAGAGAGTTCTTCTAGGTAAATAGTACCGTTGAACATGAGATACACGGCCTTACCTGTGGGGTGTGATTAGGTGACCCAGCAAGGCAGAGTTGCGCGTCCCGAAAATCAGCTGGCGTACATAAGTATTATCGATCCGATATCCCCACTAGGCCTGAAATTTGCTTCAGGAATGTTTAAAGTCAAGCACACAGAACCTGAAGACGTGCAGGTAACAGCCCCGCTTCCCATCTGTAAAGCAAGATAGATGGAGCAGCCGACAGCCAACCCGATGTCACGTCAACGCAACGAATCTAGGAGGTGGACAAAAGCTGTCTTGGCCTTCCCGATTCAAGAAGTGATTTCGCGCCTCTCACCAGGCTGCCGCGAATAACGCAGCCACAACGGCAGATACCATCAATCGGCTTATCTGCAGGCATGGGATCAAAGCTTCGTTTCCCCAGGTGTGAGGTAGCAACTCGCATCCTAAGGGTGGGGAACGAATGCACCAAATTATTTGGACCAATCGAAGTAGCTTGCATTTTTAAAGCGTCTGGCCGAAGAAGATGGATATCGCCGGCGTAGCCGACGTATGTGAATCATCAAATCATTCAGCTGTAACACCCTTTCGGTGCCTAGTTTCCATGCCAACGGAAGGACACACGAGGGCTGGGATAATACCAGGTTGTCCAAACCCAGAAGGAGCAGCCGAGATGCTGAGGTCGGGTTCGAACCACGGACCTTCCAGTCCGTAAGTTGGTGTCTTAACCACTGAGCTATCTCAAGCTCTATGTGAATGAGGGATCCGAGAGGCTTTCAAGCCCCGAGCTGTTAGAGGCAGGTAAAGGAAACTCAAACAGCAAACGTGTAAGAAAGGTGAAGATGAGGTCCAGCACTTACTAGCAGGCGAAATTCTGCGTTATACTCATAGGGCGTCAATGAGGAGAGGCACATAGAGCACTTATAACAGACGCGAAACATTTATGTAATGTTTAAGGATCCACAGAACCAGAACGACTGCTGTTGATTGCGGCAAATAATGGCGCAGTGGTGAAGATATGACCGACGTAATCTTGGCTTGATGTTAACCAAGCCGATGGTAGACCTGATACCTGATAGACCCGATGATAGACCTACCCACGTAGACGAGAGTACCATAGAAAACCTCAGGAGTTATAGTGACTGAACTGATACTCCGGTAGTTGCGCGTGCTATTCTTGAACAAACGAAGCACTGTCAAAGCACTCCATTCTAATTGTAATCTATCTTCATACTATACGTTTTGGAGAAAGGTTGTCAGGATAACTACAAAGCATCCACCGCCTTCTTTGAACAGTACAAGAAATAAATCGTCTCGATTAGGTGCTTTGATAAGCCGAATTTATGAGTTTCTAGGTTGGAATTTCTGTTGCCCATGTAAATAGGATGACAATGTTCCATTCGTTTCCATACGGACCACCAAGGTAGAGTTGGTGGGGGCCAGCTAAACCGTTCTCCAGCAATCAGCTCATTGCTCAAGACGACGCTATGGAATCCGCTAATGTTCTCTCGGTTGCTGCTAACAGTCATTTAATCACACCAGTTGACCGAGTTAATTATAAAAGGCTGTAGTTCCCTCCACAACGCGAGCCTTTACTTCCCACCTATCCTTAGGCTCTATAATAATCGACGCTTAAGGGGTCTATATGCGTCACCACATAGGTGGTTTTTGTCACCTTTTGTAATCGTCACTTAGCAGCACCCTTCCAGTGCCTAGCTGCCATGCCACCCGAAGGAAGCACGAGGGCTTAAATACTGCCTGGTTGCCCAAGCCTAGACAGGGGAAGTCGAGTGGCGGAGGTCGGATTCGAACCACGGACAGTAAATTCGCGCTCTAACCACTTGGGCCATCTCGCCCCCGTCACTTAACTCACCATCATAATCACAGTGCCGGCGCTGCATCTGAAAACATTTCAGCCAGCTCAGCTTGATTTACTTATGATATAGGGACACTTTGGTGATGAACTTAACGGTCTTATATCAACTGATGAAGTCCCGATAAGAAGCGAACTGAAACGCGTTCCCACACAACAACAAGGTTGGACAGAAATTGTGTACTTCAAAAGATACAAAAAGACTTGAATTGAAGCTATTCATCAGTAGTCCAATGAAGCCTACGACTACCTTGTAAGTGACGGCCCCCAGGAAACACGGTGTATGCAGTGGTTCGGAAAATGTGCCGGTTAGAAACAAATAATATATAGCACATACATGATGAAGTCGTTCTCCATTACTTGTGCGGTGGGCATCAACCACAAATTGATTGCTAAAATGGGCTCCTTCCGGAATTAGGCGGTTGACCTGAGTATTCTACTATCACGATCTTACTTTTTCTGAGAGGAGAAACCGTGACGAACCTCGATGGACGTTAAATTCCTCGGCCGTAGAGCTTCCGTCTGATACAGCCGTCACATACAACAAACACGTACCATTTAGTGCATTGGGGCAATCAACCGCACAGATAATCTAGTCTTTCTTTAGCCCTTCCAAATTTAGGATAACACTATCGATTGCATTGGGAAGTATCAGAAATCGTGGTTCAAATTGAGTTTCACGAAGTGCATAACTTAAGTGAAGTCTTGTGTGCGTGCTTCGGACATACATATAAATGTTCGCATGCCGCTTGAAGACCAGGTGCTTCTGTGTATAACACTGCGATCCCGAACCTGGACGTTCCTGGTTCGAGTTTCTCACTCCATCGTCACCGAATGGACAGCTGAATCCATCCGGAAACAATGCATGCTTGTTACTCTACTGAGAAAGACGTGAGGGATATTTTTCAACATCCACCCCCAAAAAAGATAAATAGTACGGGACCCACCAGTATTATTTCGGGAAATCCATGATCATCCGAGAATTTGGTACTTCCTTTATCAGCTGGTGCTTTTAACAGCCGTGAGCCAGAAGAGAACGACGCTGATGCGCCCAAATTGATGTAAACACTACTGGTTGGGTTAGTGTGACGAAGTGAATCGTTCGATGCTGATCGACTGAGAATAGACCCAGAACGAGGCACTGTACAATCCTCAGACATCCGACCAACACACTCGAAAGAACTGGATAAGCTGGAGGGGGGTACTGTTCGATAGCTCGGTGACATGTCGGCTCTCTTACTAAGCTGCTGCCTGCTTACTGAATCCAACAGGTCCGCCTTCGTTCCAATGACCAAGACTGGAAACAGGCCGCTCGGGGTGTCCAGTTGTTTCAAGCTTCCGTCATCCATCCTACCCTCTAGTGTACGAAATCGTAATCCAGATGTGAAATCGGATTGTGACCAGTAGTTAAACAAACTGGGAGCTTTCCCTCCTCCAACAGTTGAAGTGTGCGTATTGACAGCTTCCATACTGCATACCAGAGGAAGAAAAAATAGAGTTTAGACTTTGAAAAGTAAGCAGGAACGGGAGAGCAAACACCAGCTAAAAAGTTGGAAACCTCATTCGGATTGTATAACCAGTGGTCCTGTCCACGAGACTCCCTTCTCAATCCCCTCTGTATCGTTCCCTTTCGGATTAGTCTGTATGATGTTTCAGGTTGTTCGAAACACTAGGGCCAGTCTTTCCATGTTTTGGTAAAAAAAAAAATCGCTGTTCGATATTAGTCACTTTTTCTTCTCCCCCCCCCCTCAGCAAACTGGGCTAGTTTCACAAATATGACTTACTATCAAAAATGTCCATAGCTTAAGGAAAATCTCAAAGCAACGGATCTGGCAGATAAGCTTTTACAGCTTTTTTCCATTAGGAACCTACGTATGAGCAACATCCATGAGCTGGTGACCACCCACTGGCCACCATAGTTAACTTAAAATAGCCGGTGGATCGGTGGGACAAGAGTGGATAAATAGACTTGTGTGCCTTGTAGCAGGGTGTTTTTGATATTCGGGCCCTGAGCACAGCTTATCGACACGGTTAACAANAATCGGATTGTGACCAGTAGTTAAACAAACTGGGAGCTTTCCCTACTCCAACAGTTGAAGTGTGCGTATTGACAGCTTCCATACTGCATACCAGAGGAAGAAAAAATAGAGTTTAGACTTTGAAAAGTAAGCAGGAACGGGAGAGCAAACACCAGCTAAAAAGTTGGAAACCTCATTCGGATTGTATAACCAGTGGTCCTGTCCACGAGACTCCCTTCTCAATCCCCTCTGTATCGTTCCCTTTCGGATTAGTCTGTATGATGTTTCAGGTTGTTCGAAACACTAGGGCCAGTCTTTCCATGTTTTGGTAAAAAAAAGAAATCGCTGTTGATATTAGTCACTTTTCTTCCCCCCCCCCCCTCAGCAAACTGGGCTAGTTTCACAAATATGACTTACTATCAAAAATGTCCATAGCTTAAGGAAAATCTCAAAGCAACGGATCTGGCAGATAAGCTTTTACAGCTTTTTTCCATTAGGAACCTACGTATGAGCAACATCCATGAGCTGGTGACCACCCACTGGCCACCATAGTTAACTTAAAATAGCCGGTGGATCGGTGGGACAAGAGTGGATAAATAGACTTGTGTGCCTTGTAGCAGGGTGTTTTTGATATTCGGGCCCTGAGCACGGCTTATCGACACGGTTAACAAGCTACGCGTGACTGCACCACTAATAAATGGGGGGCTGCAGGTCATAATCTTCCCCAGACCCGCGAGAGATGCACGCCGTTGATGATTATCATCAAAGAGGAAGGATCCCCGACCTATGAATATAATAATAATAGTATAATAATAATATAATAAACTTCCATAACCGAAAAGATAAGGATGCAGTTTTAGTTTCCGGTAAAGCAAAAAACGGTGCGAACTTATTCAACGAACACTGCTGAGACCCATATTTGGTGCCCATTGAGTGAACATGAATGTAATGTGTTTGAGCAGCACTTGCACTTTGGACGATATTCAGATGGAAGAATAACGGAGCAATGACCTCCGGTTAGTTGTCGCTTGGGCGATATAAGAACTAGTTTATGAAATAGATTGAACATACCTACCATTTGGAGTCTTTTGAAGTACCTCAGACAACCACTTTCGTAGATTCACCTGCGATTTACTGTTGGTACAATCGTACACTAAAATCAACCCATGCGCGCCTTGGTAGAAGACAGACCTTGCATTGGCATGGGCATTACATCCACCAACGTCCCAAAGTTCGATGAAGAACGGCCTCTCTTCGTTGGATTGTGGTCGAAATTGGTGGATCTTGAATAGAGTAAATTTGCATAAAACGGGAAAGTTGACTAACCTTCACCTCCAAGCTACACCCGACTGTGTATGACGGGTTCAGTAAAGGCTGTTGATGACATAACAGATGAAGCAGACTGGACTTTCCAACGCCTCCACAATACAAAAAGTATAAAAAAAGTGAAAGTTACCGGAGTCTCCAACAAGAACAACCTTACATCTTTCAAGCTCAAATCCCATGAACGTGAGCTGCTTATTGGTAGAGTGAGAATAGAGTTGGAGACAAAGCAAAGTTCGGTGCCTGTTGAAGTAAACGATGGAAAACACGCTGTGGTAGGAATGGCGGTCACAACACGGAATCAGTTAAGCAAAGTATCGTGGTCAATCAACCAATTTATATGCTATGGGTATACTGGTTTAAGCTACTACAGCGTCGATCACCGGAAAGTCAGCAAGAGCGGAAGATACAGAGGATAGCGATGGCGTGTTCAGTTAGTTCGAGTAGCTGCGAATTGAACGCGAAAGCTTTGATGCATGAGCGCCAGTGACTGCACGACTGGGCCATTTCTGTCAGTGCCATTGACCATTGGTGAGTTGAGTCCCAGGGTCTCCATCTATGGAGGCAGCAGTTGTCGACCCGATTCAGTTTCGCTGGTTAGGGTTTACACACTTGGTTGCAGGGTCATACACTGTTTACCTGTTGGTCGCTACCACTCAGCAAAGGGCTGGGTGAAAAGAGCACTGCAGGGCAGACGATTTTCTGGCAGACAAAGTATACATCCTAAAGAGCTCAACCTATGGAGCGTGAGTAATTCATTTATGGAGAGAGAGTTCCTCGTTCCCAAAACCATCTGGGATACCTCAGTATTACTAATCCAGTATTTCCACTAGACCCGACCAATGCTTTGGAGACACCAATGGTCGAACACTGTCCTTGCACGTAGAGGCCACGTCTCTGATCCATAAAGCAGTATCGACTGCACTGCCGCAGCGTAAACTGTGCGCTTGACGGACAAACTCACGTCACGTCGGCGCCATAGGTATCGGAGGTTGCGAAAAGCTGCCCTGGCCTTCCTGATTCGAGTAGTCTCATCTCCAGCCGATCCGTGAGAACTTATATAACCACCCAGACATACAAATTTATTTGCCATGTGGATTACCTCAACCGAAAAAAACATCAGGTTTCGGTTTGATCCCACTCATTCTTGTGGCAGAAGTTTACAGCTTGCAGGTGTGAAGAGCATGACAAATCGTACGGCAAAATTACTTAGGTTATTTGAGCTAATTTGCATTTTTCGAAGGATCTGAAACAGGGAGAGCGAGATCGACCGAACACTCAATGTCTGTGGTGGCGTAAACCTTTTGATGCTAAGGATATCCGGGAAGTTCAAATCCCATTGGCGCGAAACTTTCACGGAAAAAGTATCCTCTAACTGGGGCTCTTAGTGACGGCTATGAGCCTTTGCGAATATCACGAATATCTAACCCTGAGAATCCAGATTTTATGGATCGGGTTGATCTTTTAAAATGGTCGTATATCCGAACAGTGTCCCCAACAATGGGAACCTATGGATATTGCTCACCCCAGCAATTGACTGCAGCCCCGGCTCCATTCTCTGCACGACGAAGTAAAACCCGCTCATCGAAAACAGCTCTATTTGAAGAAACGAAAGAAGTGCGGAGAAAATCGTGGTAGTCGATTCACAACTTTGTCCGAATCTGAGCTGTATGTTCGCTAATTAGACCCTGAACGAGTGTTTTTGTCAATGATCCATTTAGACATGTGTACATACACCACTCTCTTTCGAACGAATACTGAGAGGATATCCAAACCATCTCCTAGGGAAGAAACTCATTCCTGGTTTCTTGTGTAGCGTATTACTTTTGAAATGCTTACCAAGAGGATTTTTTGGAAGCATATTAGTCATTCACTGATGGAGTTCAGCAGTCCAAGAAAGGGTAGCGTTTTCTACCAGAAGACATTAACTAAAGGTGGAATGGTCAGATAGAGTTAGATTGCGAAATCCACTCTTTTCAAGTTATTCGATACCAAATGGATTTGTACTATGTCCACGCTTCAATACAAGCATATTTATTGAAACAGATGCAATACTTTGGAAGCGTGATGCGAATTCACATGCCCTCAGTAACCGCATAGAGTGTCCCACTGTTGTATTGGCGTGTGAACTTATGTTCCCAGAAAATTGAAATATCCTGTAACCTTCCATTTTGATGTTCCTGCGAATTACCTGCTAATTCGATAACTCCCACTTTGTCATCGAGAATTTCGCCCCTTTTTCATTAACACACGATAGATTTTTTCCACTAAAATAATCGCCGCTATCATTGGCAGCAACCCCATCTTGAAATACCGGTGCTTCGCTACCGTTCAAAGACGGGAATGAGTTAGGCTGTCCGCCTTTTGTGTACGACTGAATTTCACCCCCGGGAAGACGCATTCGTCGTTAAAGCAAAACATCACGGTTGTGCCAGTGGAACTGATCAACCCGCGATTTGAAGTCGCATTTACGACATTTGCCGGAAATAAGCTCCATATATGAGTTGCCCTAAGACGCCCCGCGACCCCGAATGCCTTTTCCTGGATCATAATGGGCGTGCTCGGTGAATTCTCTACGGGCCTCTTCTGTAAAGCAAGCACTATTAACGACTCCAGTTTTGCGTCATTCCCTTGTCCCAATGGAAGTAAGCAGGTCAGACAGACGCTAAGGACTTACACCCAACCTTGAGAAATATGGGTGGCAGGTCATATGGGTCAAGAATCACCCAAGTCTTAGTGGACTTAGGCTGATCGTGCAGGATTCCAGTGCAATTTGAAAATCCGACTAGGTGGTACTATGTTGCCATGAGAAGTGTTGTTCAGAGTGCATGACCTGGTGGTCAAGATCTGCAAGTGTTACCTTGTCGCGGTAGCCGAGCTCCAGTGCCGCAATGACCTTGCGGTCTTTACAGACTCAAACTCATTTTCTCATGGTTCATTCATGCAATGAGGGCCGAATGAGAGCAGCTTGACAAAAAGTGAAACCCCGTGATGTAAGAAATCGTATTACGAGTCGGCCGTCGTAAAAATAATGGGGCGAACGCTGGAAGGTCTCCTAAAACCGGTTGTTGAAATAGTTGCTGGTAAAAATGTTGTCAACCTGGAGTGCGCAGGCAGCATCACCCTAATCTATGGAGACCAAGACATGCGCCTAAAGCCTTGAAAGTGTGAAGTCATGCTTAAGAACGCACAGTCTCTCACATTCAGGGAGAATCACTGGAGGTTGTGGAAGCTTTCATTTACCTCGGTAGTCGTATTAGCTCTGACAGAAATGTGCGCGATAAAGTCAGTGCAAGAATCTCAAAGGCCGGAATCACATTTTCTAATTTGCGTCACTTGTGGCATCGGAAAGGCATATCACTCGATCTTAAAAGTCGCGTGTGTCAAGCTACAGAAAGGGGGTGTAGCTTTACTGTTGTGAGGCGGACTATCTGGACAGATATGAAGCGTCCTCAGGTTTCTGACCACTGATGCCTCAAAAGCGTTGCCGATTTTGGATGACGCCAACGGATTATTAGAGGAGCGCTTGGAAAACGAGTATTTGGTCATCCATCAGTTACTCTAATCGGAGAAAACGTCCAGCACCATCAACTACCGTGTCTCGGACATGTGCTATGCATCTCGAAACATCGTCTACCGAGTGCTATTCTTTGTGCGTCTTCAGAACGGCGCAAACCGCAAGGTAAACAAAATATGACTTGGCAGAAGGGTGTGAAGATTATGATTGTTTTGGGCGTTGTTCGTGCAGTACGACTTCCAGGATGGATCCCTATGCGCTTGCATAGAGAAATGGCGGGCATCATCATCGACAGCATGACACCAGTGTTCAACACCGGTGCTTCGCTGGCATACAACCATGATTTATTTGTACGCCTTATTGTAAAGAGAATGAAGGTGAACGAGGAAGGGACTTAACGCTAGCTTACTACAGTCATTTCGAGGTGCCTACACCTCCAAATACTCATTCAGGCTATTTGGATAGAAACTGACAAGATTGACACTGACAACGTTTGGCAGTCATATCCTGCAGTGTCTCCAAAAAATGGCGGAAGATCGAAGTCAGCCGCGTACGCTGTCAGTTTCTTCCCAGATTGTCTGACTGAAAGCTTGGATGTGTAATCATTTCAGAATTCTTGCGACAGGTCAGCACCAGGCTCCCTCCATCACTGTTGGGGATATCAATATCCCCCAGAAAACGCTGTGTTTTTATATGTGCTAGCGAACTCCTGGCATCTTCAAGGTCAAACTATGAAAAATCAATGGCCTGTTGATACTCCAAGGAAATTTAAATCCGACCACGTACAGGATACCATTCTTTCCACTGACTTGGGTTCGGAAGCTCCGGGCATCGCCTGTTGATCGTGTGTTGCTGGATTATTAAAGTTTGTGTCCGAGGTTTTCGTCTTCTTACTATTCGCCGTGCTAGGAGTCTGGATCAAGCAACATAGCTGGGGATAGAGTATTGCCACAATCCGCATTATCATATTGTTTGCTCGCTGCGTGACAGAACCGTAACATATTTGGCGACGCAA